ATTATGTATAAAAATGGAAAAATTATTATTTTGAGGTTATCTCCTTAATTATTGATTAAATCAAAAAATGTTGTTAACAATATTTGTTAAGAATTGCATCAGGAACAGTGTTTGTCAAAACAATTTTTTTCTAACTTGAAATTTTCATTTCCCACTGAACAGTATGCTATTCTTTTAATCAGAACGAGTGGAGGGGGGAAATCGTATCGTTTTGTTACAGAAGTTCCGTGCCCTAATGATAACTAACGCCAAGGAAACAAGGACGAACCTCAAGGTAGTCCAGGAATCCCCAGAATCTCCTACACTTGATAATAACTGACATCAAGGAGACAGGAACTGGTTAATGAGGGGTTCAAGATAATAAAGGCCAAATTGGGGTTCCTTTAGGTAGTCCAAAATCATCAGGATCTCCTGAATTAGATGGCAATGTAGGTCAAGAAGGCAAAGATGGATTTTCGGGTAAACCAAGATCTTCTCAAAAACTGGTGTCAAGGAGATACCTCCAAATACTTCAAGAACGTTAGTATAAGATGGTTCCTCTGGTAGGCCAGAATCTCCTATACTGGACGAACATGAAGGGTAAAGTGAAAATAATGGTTCCCGAGGTACTCCAGGTTCAAGAACGTCTCTACTTGATAATAGCGGAGATCGAGGAGGCAATGATAAAGCACCAGGTAGTCCAAAATATTCATAAACTAGTTGAACACGATGGTCAAGGTCAAGGCCAAAATAGTAGTCCAAGACCCCCAAAATTCTTCGGTTTAATGACATCAAGAGGGGAGTAGCATAACTCCAGGTAGTTAAAAATGCTCAGGATTTTTTCGACTTGATGACAACTAAGATTAAAACAAGATTGGAACTTCAGGTAGTCCAGAATTTCCTCGACGTGATGATAACTGAAATCAAGCAGCTAATAGAGGACCTCCAGGCAGTCAAGGATCCCCAAGATCCCTCGACTTGATGACAAAGGAGATATATAAGTTATAAACCAATTTTGGACAATGGTGGTGCAGTTTTCAGTCATTCTCACCAACTTGGACTTGCTATAAACTAGTCCTTATGCATTTAGACAAGCTTTATATGGTTGATTTTCACATTTTCATATTTTTCTCGTTATTGATGAATCTGACAGCAAAAGTTAAAGAGAGCAATATTGTTAAGAACAAAATTTGCTACAAGTTTTGTTTTAAAATTTTTTTTCCAATGTGCTTTAATTCCGGAATTGAAGCAAAAGTGAAAGAGCTACAATAATCCATATATTTCAAAACACTTAATTTTTAATATTTTTTGAAAATTTGACAAAAACTTTTTAAATTATTTCCTTAATCAATACAAATTCCAGGAATACTCGTCATATATTTCTGGAAAAGGCGATTAAATCTCCTCAGAATGAGATGGAACGTTCTTAATCTCCGTTGGCAAAAAGATATGCGACCAGAATATGTCAAAATAGCCAAACGCACCCGCACCAACACCGCAACGGGAGAACAAGAACATTACATTCCAAAGTGTCAAAGATTTTTCACTTTATCTTTCACAAATGGTTGTATCGTTTTATTGGTAACACAAAGAACATAATGTTCAAAACAAATTTTTATTTATCTTTTTTTTTTTTAGGGATTCGGATTAATTTTATTCGGAATATGCATGGTCATCATCGGAAATCGCCTTTCTTTCTATATCATGTACAGCATTGATAAAAAAACGGTGGTACAAGCATCGTTTTTCAGCAAAATCTTTGGTGGGTTCATGCTGTTTATGCAATTCCATGGATTTGTTACTTGGTTACCGATGGCGGCGGCTTATTTTACAAGAATTGAGGTTCCAAGTACCCCACATAATTACGACCATTCTTACATTTTGAAACATTCGATTTTATTATTTGCAAATCGATTCAGTTCGCTTATTTATCTCACTTTTATTCGGGTAGAAATTAATTAAATCAAATTAATTTTTTAAATAATTTTGAAATTTAAAGGGTCGCGCTTATGACCATCCGGGAACAACCCAAAAATATTACTTAATCAAAGAATTTACTCACGATTTATGCGGCCCACATGGTTGCTTTCAAAACTTAGGGGTCGCTTTGGGGGCGCTTTTTTGCTTGGGTAGTGCAAAGATTCTTTTTGCACAATTTACAAGAATGTAAATAATCATTAATTAATTAATTAAGATTAATTAAATATGTTTTAGGTTTATTAACGTTAAAGCGGGGAAGCTTGATGTTGTAAATTTACCCCAATGGGAGATGGATTTTAGTTTGTTACGATCGAGTCGACTTTTCACCTACAGTAATTTCTTCGATATAAGTAATTTTTAATTGTTATTAAATTAATTATTTATTACATTAATGTTTTTAGTTTCCCAATACGCGATAATTCTCGGATTCGTCTCCGCTTTCCCTTTAGCCCCGCTTTTTGCGGTGATCCGAAACATTTTCAAAATTAGAATAGAAGCGATTAAGTTCACGAAATACAGCAGGAAATGTATTCCGATGAAAGCAAGCGGATTAGGGCCTTACAACAAAATAATAAGATGGGTTTACCACATCGCCACTTTTGTAAATGTATCATCTTACTAACACATCATTCAAAATTCTTTATAAATATGTTATTTTAGGGTTGTGTGATTGTATTTTCAAGCTCAACCATATCTTGGCTTCTATACAAATTTTATTATAAAACTGAAGGGGGTTACTATAAATTTATGCTTTCTGGTTAGTTAAATTCATCCAAAATAATCTAAATTATGTACATAAAAGTTAATCTTGATTCTTTAGAATTTGATTCAGCTGATCTCGCAGAAAAATCAACACAATCCCAGGGAGTTTGTTATTATTCAGGACACCGTCACCCCCCGAGCAGTGCTGAAAAGTACACCCACAAATCCGAATTTTACGTGATTTTTATCGCACAATTACTTTTTTTAATTCTTTACGAGGTAAATATGCTTCTTTAAGTTGTAACTTTAAATTGTTCCTTTTATTTTAGCAATTAATCATGTTTATGTGCGGTTTATTAAAAGGTATTTTAAATGAAAAGCCGCGAGTTTTTAAAGAACGCGTTTTGCACGAAGAAATTTTAGTGAGGGAAGTTAAACAGAAGATGTTGAATGATTTGTATAATGATCCGAGTCGTAAAAAGTTTCCGGATGGAGTTCATATTCCTAGAATATGATTCATGTACAAACATCTTAAATACAAAATAAAAACAGCTTAAATTATAAATTAAAATGTTTTTTATTTCAATTTGATATTTCAATTCGTTCTTGTTATCTAAAAGTTATCTCTTTGTAGTTATAGCAGTTGAGTTTTTTGAGGCATTATTTATCTAATATACAGAAAACTGTAATTCTTCTGAGGCGATTCAATACGTCGTATCTAACATTTTGCAAAATTGGACTGTAATCTTGTGATTAATGCAAAGACTTCATTTTTAACCGATTACCGATGTACATTAAATAAATTCGAAGAAGTTGAGTTTAACATTTTTTGGATCGTTCGTTCAGTGATTGAATAAAAGATGACGCTCAAAATCGATTTAATTTTATTGTATTTTTTAATAATATAATTATTGCTTTTGCTTAATAATCATAAATTAATCTAATTTTGGGTTTATTTTACAAAAATAGTGTTGTATTATTAATTTATAACAATAAAATTCGTTAAATGTCAAGTATTTTAATTAGTGTTTCATAGTGTTAACGATAGATGTCGCAAAATTAAACCGCTCTAACTTTTTAGGTTATGTTACTTTTTATTTATTATTTATTTTCTACGTCAAGAAATTGTGACAATAAGGATGGTAAAAAATTACATTAAAATGATTATTTAGCTTTAATTTTTTCTTTATTAAAGGCGTTATCTCACGAAAAGAAGGAACAATTAGCAAAAGAAATGTCTTTGAGGAAAGCTCAAGATTGCCTTACGCTTATAAGGTCAAGGAGCGATGAAAGAAATAAATATAGGAACTTAACCCGTTACATGCAAATTCAAAAGAGCCAGTTGGAAAGTGCTGATAAAATTGAGCATGAGAAACAAGCTGTGGCGTTACAATCAGCTTTGGTAGCAAAAAAAGAAAAATTGGCTCAAGAAATTGTTAAAAAGAAAAATGAGGAGCTGAGTGAAAGCTTATTGAGACAACAAATAAGGCGAGATTCGTATGAGCTGCGCGATTTAGAGAGAAAGCTTAAAGCTGCTTATGTTAATAAACAATTATTGACTCAATTGGCTGAGAGAGAATCCGAAAGACAAGCAAAGAAATTCAAAGATAAAGAGGTTATGATTGCTTTGGAAGCTGCAAGAATGAAAAGTGAAGACTATCAGAAGGTGCAACAAGAGAAAGAAATGAAACAAAAAGCCAAATACAAACAAGAATTGCAAGATCAAATGATTTTGGTGGAAAGAACCAAAAGGTTTCAATACGAAGAGTTTTTGAGGGAAAAAAAGAAAATTGATGACATTGTACAAAGAGCACATGATGAGGATGAAAGGGAATTGCAAGAAAAACAATGCAGAATACAAAGAACTCGAGAGGAAATGATGAAATTTAAGGAAGCCCAAGAATTATGGAAACAAAAAGACCGAATGCGTTTACAAGAAGAAGACAGAAAATTAACCGAATACGTCCAAGCCAAAGCAAGGGAACAACACATCAAAGAAATGAACAAAGCCCATTCAGACAAACAAAACGAAGAAAGAATGGAAAACATCGCTCGCGAAATGTACTTGAGACAACAAAGAGACAGCGAACGACAAACTTTCGTCGAAATCCTCAAAGAAGAAGAAATCTTAGCCGAATACCGAGCAAAAGACCAAAGAGAATTAGAAAAAAAAATCAAATTACGAGAAGAAACCAAACAAGTTCTCGACTACCAACTAAAAGAGCGCGAAGATCGAATCAAAAAAGAAGCGGAAGAAGACGCGAAATACGTTGAACAACTCCTCGCGAAAATGGCTGAGGAAAATAGATTAGAACAAATGTCTGCTGGAAAAGCTCGCATGAGATTGTTACAACTCAAAAAGGACGCTGTCGAGCAAACGAAAGCGAGGCGACAAATGTATGCGGAAAAAATGCAGGAGGAGATTAGGATTGAAGAGGAACGGGTTCGACAGGAAAAGAGGAAGCAACAAATTATTGACGAGGAACGGTTGAAAATGTTGCAAGAACATGCGAAAAATGTGATTGGGTTTCTTCAACCTGGAGTTTTGCAAGAAAAGGATTTGGAGTATTTGGATTGTGAGGTTGTTGAGGAGTATAGGAAGAAAGAGGGGTTGTAATTTGAGGGAATGATTGAAATTAAAAATTACTCAGTTTTAATAAATGAATGATTGTAATTTTATTTTTATGAATTGTATGTTTTTATAAATAAACAAGACATTTTTTGATAAATATTATTAGTAATAAATTAAATATTAAATCCATATAAAGTCAATACGAAGTAATTTTGTAGAATTTTGACAGTGACATAACCTCAAATTTCATTTTTCATTAATTTCTTATTGTAATTCATGTTTGTTCGGTTGAAAACGAGTGGAAATGAATTTCAATTTTAAGATTTTAGAGGATATCTATAAGGCTTTTAACGTATTTCCATGCATTTCCTGATAATTTCCAAGAAACGTCAAGGAATTTGAAAGTTTTCAAAAGCTGTCAAAGGTCAAAGTGGTTAGATATTTGAAAATTGATTTAAAAGAGCATCAAAATTATGAAATATCATGCATAATTATAAATAATTTTAAAATTTTTAAATAATAAATTGACAAATTAAATTAGAGATATTTCAAATGTCAAAGTTGGCGACATTGAAAAAACTAAAGTACAAATTTCAAACCGATGAATTTAACCAATCAGGAGACGTTATTTGAAAATTTAACATTCGAAAAACGGAATTTATCTACAAAAATGGTGGTTTCTGTTGTGTGAAGAGATGCACGCATTTTTTTTGCTCTCCAAAACAAATAAATTAAATCTATTTTAACGAGTGTAAAAAAAATATATCCGTTCCTGTCCAACCACTGAAGAAAACGATTGATTCTGTTAATATCGAAGAAACTAATTTGGTCCCGTATTGGAAATATCCGTTCCTGTCCACAACCATCGAAGAAAACAATTGAATCCGTTCCTGATCGAAGAAAATAATTGGTTCCGTTCCTGGTAGAAATCATTCTTTTGGTGAAGAGAAAAATTGGTTCCCAATCCTGAATCCAACTGTTCCTCTCACCAAGAAAATATTGGGTAAGCAAAATTTTTTTTTTATAATTTATTGTTTGTATAATTTGAAAAGCCGCGAAATTATTTCGTTTGAATACTTGCTATTTACTTTGTATTCATATATATACTTGCATATATCGTTTTAGTGTGTATGACCTCATTATATATATATATATTTAAAAATTCAAAAAAGACATCTGTAATAAAATTGGTTGGAATCTGAGCTAACCGAACTCCGTTTTACAACTGCTAGCAAGTATCGCCGCCTATAATCGTTGCAGTAAACTAAAAATTTTTCCCCCCTCTTTCAAAAACATCCTACCTCGTCTACCACGTCCGAACAGTACAACAAAACGAGAAGACGTCCCTAACCCTAGTTTTCGGATCAATTTGCGTCGTTAAAAATGTCGGAAATCAGCTGTTTCGCATTAACGCACTTGCCGAACGTGCTCGCGTCAACAAACGTGTTCACGCCTGAACGTCGCGACGTTATGTACAGGTAGGAGTAACCTGAAAAGGTACGAGCCAATAGCGTGGCCCCTCTCCGGCCAATGGAACTCCAACGCCAACAGTGTTTATCGGGCCGCGGGCAGACTTGAGACGGGCGCGAGTTCGCGTCGAACCGCGTTTGGGGTGTTTTCGCGCGTCCGTTGGCAGCCGTGTTGTGCGCGATTTTTACCTCGCGAAGGTGGTGTAAAATCGAATTAAAACCAAAAAAAAGTAATAACAAGTTAGTTAAGCGGTCGGGGTTGTTGATACATCAAAAGGGAGTCTTGATGGGAGAAGAGGACGTGGTCGACGACGACGCCGTCCATTCATTGAAATGGCAACAAGCGTGACGACGTCCGGCGTCGGTCGAGGTCGACGGAAACAGGCCAAACCGCAACGAAAAGGTAAGGAAAAATTGCTCGTTGAAAACGCGCCGGTCCGAACACGTGCGTCAAGCGCCGGTTTGTTTACCCCGGACGCCATCTTTTGAGGGTGGGGGTAAAATTGTTTTAGACGTCAAACGTCACTACGATCTAAACGTGCTGCGTTCATGTATCATATAGATATATATATAGTATTGCAAAAAATTTTTTTTTTATTAATAATACAACAAAAAATCGTTTTTTGTTGTTCTTATAGCACCTTTTTAAATAAAATTTAAACATTTCTTTTGTTTATAGATTTTTAAAGACTGACTCAGACTTGATGTTTGTTGTTATGTGTGACACTATTTTTTTTGTTGCTTTTAATATACAGTGTGTCCCAGGATAGATGTTACAAGAGGTCTTAAAAATTTTTGAATTTTATTTTAAGACTAAGGAATTAAGCCCTGCTTGGTGTAAAGAGAATTTTAAGAATATTTTCATGTTTTGAAAACAAAGTCGGCCTTGACAGTGAATCAAAACCTATTTTTAGTTTAGGTAAAGTAACCTTTTTGTTTATGGTACGGAAAAATTTTAATAAAAAAAGTTGTTTAAAATGAGAAATTATGGTCCTATACAACATTTCAGAAGGATCTATCTAGTTTGGTTGAACCATCACATTTTAGTTTAAATAACATAATATTGTATAATTTTATTTTATTTAAAAAACTAAGCTGTTAGCTAATTTTCTATTGTCATTATATTTCTTTTTCTCTCTCTTAACGTTAACAACGCTCCCCGAAGTAATACATGTAAGATTAGTATTAGGAAATCTCTCCTTAAACTGCTGCACCACTGTTCTTAGAGCGCATAACACTGCACGACGTAAATTTTCTGTTCTAATGTTAACATAATGCAAGAGTAATTGAAATGTGAACTAAAACTGAGGGATAATACATTTTTTAATGGCATTTTTCATTATTGTTTTTCTTCACTCTAATCTAATCTAAAATATGGTGGTTTGATCTTTCTGAAATTTTGCATAGTGTCATAATTTCTCATTCTGAACAACTTTTCTTAATGAAATTTTGCCGTATCATAAACAAAAAGCATACTTTACCTGAACTAAAAATAGAGTTGATTTTCAAAATATGAAAATATACTTAAAATTCTCTCCACACCAAGCAGAGCTTAATTCCCCATCCTTAAAATAAAATTCAAAAATTATTAGGTGATTATATCTATTGTAACATCTATCCTGGGACACACTGTATATATAAAATAATTTATATATATATAATCTTTGAACGGTGTTTCGATACCAATATAAATAACATTTTAGACGGTAAACTATCTAAAGAAAGTTATCTGATAGGCTTAAAAACCTTCGGTGGTCATAAATAACAGAAATAAAGACCTTCACCAGCGACAACACACACTCATATACAACGTGACGTAAATGCCTTTTCATTTTTCTTAGCGAACCAAGGCAAGTTGTTGATAACCTATGAACCTGAGCCGGGTGTTATCTACCGCTTCCAAGGCCCTATTAAAAACCGTCCGGTCGTTTTCAGGTCTTTTCCTTTCATACACATCGGGCAACAATAATTATTTCGAAATGTTTTGTAACGTGTATGGAGATAGTGTGTGGTTTACGGTTTTGAGTGGAAGGCAAATTGCGAACAGATTGCGCGATTCTGTTTCTAAACTGAAATTGATTGACAGGGATTTTCTTGGCACTGTTTTAACACCTGCGTTCGCCGGCCGATTGGCAACGACACAACGACAGCGTCGGCTAATTATGGAGTGGCGCCTGAAAAGAGGGCTACAATAATCCATGTCGGGATTATAATTAGAATGTTTTCGATTAAGAATTCTGTATTATAACGCGAAAATTAAAATTGATACGAAACTGTTTTATTGAGAAAGTTTGTTGGTGATGAATCATAAAAACATCGTCCATAAACTGTTTTATTAAATCGTTGATTAATACCAACCTAACGGAGTTGAAATCCCAACCCATCCAAAAACGTCAATTTTTAGATTTGGACATTTTATGGTTTATAATTAAAAATGCGAATAAGCTAGAAAGATATTGTTTATAAATAATATCTTTGTCGATGTATTATAAACAATCGGTTTTTACACTTGGCGATTTTATTGTATGTATATCTAGTCAAGAACATGAAGAGGCAGAAAAGTAGCCACCTCCATTCCAACTACACCAGTACCTATTTTTCAGTACAGTTGTTCCAACTCTCGATCACAGCTTTGCCGTTTCATGATTCAACTCACTTATTCTAAAATAAGTCTATGCAAGATGATACATTTTAGTAACATCTCCATTAGACCAAATTCCTAATAGCTCTATTTAAAGACAAAATAAACTTGGAACACCGCATATGATCATAATAGCTCTCAATTAGTTGAAACTCGCTATATCCGTTGTCTGGTCAATAAAGTAATGTTCCATCAATTTTTCTGCCATACGAGAAAGTCCGTTGTGTTACCATTTAATCTCATTGCTGCATAGTCTAGTTTTCTATGACTTTCCAACCCAATTTTGGCTTTAGTATTAGGCTTCCTCTTGCTCTTCTTCTAGGTTTCTGCGTTTAGTCTCAGAACCTTTCTTAAAATTTTTCTCTCCTGCATCACATGGTCTTTTAATAGGTCTTATTATGCTTTGTATATTCGTATTCTAACTGCTCTTGTTATATTTTTATTACCCACCTTATAATTGGTGTAATATGCTTTGCCTTTATTGTACACTTGCATCATTGTACTTCGTATCATAATCCAATGATATTGATATTGTGGGTTGCGGAGGAATGCTGCATAGCACTGGAACAAGTTGTAACGAGAGTCTGTCTGAGTTTTAACTAGGAGAAGACAAAGTTTCCTGGTTGCCGCTAGAGTCTTTCCGATCAACATTTTTTTTGTATTACCAGTTTTCTTCCTCTTTGTTTAGTACCTTTTTTGTTTCATAAGTCCTTATTGCAGTCTCCTTTCTTTCTGGTCAGTCTCATTCCAATCTTTCCATCTAAGCCTTTTCACTTGTTCTGCTTGCTATTGTCTTTCTGCCCAAACTCCGTCATCTCTTTTCGGTCTATATTTAGTTTTCTTCTTTATCTTTTTGCTTTCTTTGCCTATCAGTTTCTTTCTAGTCTTTGTCTTTCTTCTTTTTCCCATCTTTGTTCAGTGTATTATTAGCCCTTTTCCAGTCTCCATCTTTTCTGCCCAGTTTCTTTCTTCTGTTTGCAGTCTTTGTTAGCAGTCTTTGCAGTCTCTATCTCTCTTCTTATTCTTTCCGAGCTATGTGCAGCTCAATATCATCTTCCTAAGAGAAGTTAAATTCAAGACATCGTAGCCTTTATTACCAAGTTTATGCATTACAATAAAAAAAGACTTGAAATAAATAAAATCCACAAGAGCACAGGAAATTTAACATCCTCAAACGTGCTTATTAATTTTCTTAAGCTCATAAATTACACGGTAGGTTTGGTGAGGCGCTGCGGCGGCGTCGGCGTCTATTCCAGGAGACGCCACGGACGAACAGTTAGACGCCAGGCGTCACACCCCGTAACTTTGGGAACGTCCTCTAAATTACCGCGGGCGTATCGAAGATGTCGTCATTTTAGAAATGCATAATTGTGGTGTTACGACTTCCGCCGATTTATTCATCGAATCGGACGGGTATTCTAATTTATGGATCGTACGTTGTGTAGAGTGTAGAGAACGCGGAGGATTGAGTCCTGCCGATGCGTATGCATTTTGGAACAATTCCAAACCGACTCGTAAATCTACGGTTAACTACGAAAGTATTTGCTAAATACTGCATCGCTGTAGGTTTTCGTTCGATGTAGGTTTCGCGCAAAACTTGAAATCGGGCCAAGTTACCTTCGGGATTTCCACCGGCCAAAAGTCGATTCGTAAAGGTTCCAAAAAAAATAACAATGCTTTTTATGAATGACAGAAAAGTTTTTTTTTTCGATTTTATCTCAGTATTTTTGGCTTCGGACGGTGTGTAAAAAGAGCCGAGTTCGTTTTATGATTGTTTAATTTATGAGCACCTCGAACCAAATGAATTCGTCTGGAAGTTACCGTTTTAATGTGCGGCGACTGAATTTCAAATATTGAAAATACGAGCGCAGGTGCTGCAAGTTCTATTTTTGAAACGTTGATGTAGAAAATATTGAATTTATTGTTTTAAAAAGAAAATTGATTGTCAGTGTGCTATTGTAGGGTATTGAACCTTTAGTTAGACCACCAGACGATAACCTTGTTATCAGCTCGGCCGAAACCAAAGGAAAAATGGCTGATTACGATGCCCGGTTAGTTTCCCCTCACCTATGGTGGGGAATCATCGCGGGGAATCCGCTACATAGAATCGGAGCACGTAAAATTCCCTGGCTCAATGCCCCTAGAGTTCTCTCCTGATCGCTTGCAAGGTTATATCAATCAAGCCGAGTGAATAAAGTTGTTATGTGCTCTACCAGACCTAAAACGCGTTCCGTCGGAATCGTGTACAAACGTCCGACATATTTAACGTGTTATTTCTTTCAAATTTAAAATAAACTATAATAACGACAATTTTACGTGGTAACTTTTATTGCGACACATTCATACCAATTTTTAACTTCTTACTGATTCTTACTGAAAAAGATAATTTTTTGTGGATATTTCAACTATATCATCTAACAGTTTTTACATCATATCTAGGGCACGGAACTTTTGTAACAAAATGATACGATTTCCCCCCTCCACTCGTTCTCAGCAGAAAATTTCATACAAAAGTTGTTCTAAATTAAATTCTAGAACGATTTTCTCAATAAAAATGTATATATAAAAATTTTTTTGAGCTTATATTCTTAATTATTGATCAAATCAAAAATTTTTATTAACAATATTTGTTTAGAATTACTTCAGGAACAGTGTTTGTTAATAAAATTTTTTGCTAACTTGAAATTTTAATTTCCCGCTGAATAGTATGCTATCAAAATTAATTATCTCAATAATTATTGTTTTTATCAAAAAATGTTTTA